GAGTCCTAGTCCGCTTGTACCGGCTGCCCTTTGCGGTCTCGTCGCAAATCCCCCCATGACAAACAAGGGATGATTTTGCGCCCTTCACGCTGTACGTCTCAACAGGTTTTGTCGTGCGTCTTGCCCCCATCTCAGTGTGACCTACACTGCACAAGGACATGAGGTGATTCGCGAGCCTACGGTCCCAGTCAACACGCTCCACATTCATGGCCTTCTTGACTAGGGATTAAAACTCGCGAAGCTCTGCCACCGTGAAATCGCAACCGACCGCGGCTGCTCTTCCCTCCCCGGCCTCCCCGGCCTCCCCGGCGTCACCGACCCCTCCCTCTTGGGTCGCTGCCTCCAACGCCGCCGTACACTGCGTGGCTAGCACCCCAGCCCACTCTCAAAACAGGAGCCACGTGTTGCTGACAGCTTTGAGAGAACTTTTGGTCGAAGACACGCCTCCAGAAGAACGTCATTGGCCTGTGCGTGTGGGCGTGGGCGCCTAGCCGCTGGTCCGCGACGTCCACACCACCCATGTTCTTGACGTACTTCTTGCGAGCTAGTGGCTGACTGCTCGACACTTTCTCGCCGTTGTTGTCCGCAGCTCGCTTCCTCCTGTGAAGATTTGCAAAAAGAAGATCGGCGGGCGTGTCAGGTAGATCCAAAGCAAAGTACATGAGGGGGTGATGCACATGTGACCTCAGCCCGTGCTGCAGGCGAAGCAAAGGTTCAATCTCACAATCGAAGGCGTTCGCCTCCAGCGGAAACGCTCACTTCCAGCGGAGAAGCATGCCCTCGTAAACCGAACTATCGTTTCCACAGTTACCATGCCTTGTGCAACACACAACTTGGTTGGGAGAAAAACCGTCAGCAATGAATTTACATATCACGAACGGTACACCACGATTGGATGCAGATCCGGGAGAAAAAATCATCGCGGTATGGATTTACGGTTGTACTCACTCGTTAGCGAGAGCGTTCCCACTCGTCCGCAAATACATGCTTCGACGACATCAGGTGCACCTCCTGGGAGTCGATCCACTTGACGATCACGAGCTCGTCCGAGCGGGCCGTCAGCATCTGCCCACACTCCGTCGCCTTCATGCCCTCCTTCAACTAGAGGTAGTTGGCGAGATCTACTCCGGTGCGGTTGCCGCATAGAGTCCCGACGGCGAAAATGTTGCGCGTAGCGAGGCATCGCAGCAGGGCGGCTCCCGTGAAGAAGTTCTCCATCGCTACGATAACACCGGAGCTGATGATCTTGTCGGAGAAAGTTTCGCACGCCTCGAGTAGGACGTACATGACTGTGCGTGCCGACTTCCCAATGGGACAACTCACATACGGCCTCAGCTTGATGTCGCCGCTGAACCCGCCGTCGACGCTTTGGACGAAGCAGTAGCCGGAAGGGCAGCAAATAGCCCAGCACTTGATTCCTGTGCGGGCGCCTACGAAAAATAGAGGAACACACGACTTGTTACCATTGCTCCCTCACTGTATGCATACAAGATGTCAAAGTCGACACGAGCGGTGCACTTCAAGTTCTGACTACCCAGGGACCTGCAAAATTGAATATTTATCATGTCGTGTTCGGCATCTTGTGCTTACTTCCGTAGGGATGGCTGAGAATCGCAAATTGCTCTTCTGGTGCTTCACCTCTTCGTCCAGAGACAAAAAAGCACATTGTACCTGCCTCCAAGGTGCTCGACCAACTTCACACATATTGGTGTGAATATACCCTTTGCACGGAGTGAGGGTATGCGACTCCGCACAAGTTCTACTCGACCACCCTCATGGTCGCCGAAAAAAAAAGGAAGCGACAAAAGATAAGAGTATCCCTGATTGTCGGGGGTACGAAACGATCGCTGTGTTCCCCAGCGACGAAGACCCAACCCCAATGTATTGGGGGTGGGGGGGAGGGGTGGGGGTGAACCAGGTGTGCGGGACGACTTCATACGTGCACCGGTCTGGGAACGGATGATGCCACCGAGATCACACGCAAGAAATGAAGCCCTCCCCCATACCTCCTGCCCCTTCCCCGGTCTTCGCAATCGGGGTTAGGATTTGGTTGGGCAACGACATTGTCAAACAAGCCGATCACTTCGTGAGCTCGACAACCAGGTGACAGCGTTTTTTTTTGCATCTTTTTTTTTTCCTGGCGGTAACAGTAATGGCGATTAAGTAGATAATGTTGTGCGAGGTCAAGAACCCTCATCCCGCGTCAATGGTCTAACGACTCCGGCACGCACGACTATGAGTACCCCCCCCCGGCCGCCCCCGGTGTTTACCATCGGGGTTGGGTTTTCGTCGCTTGGCAACGACGT